TCGTTCGATGACAGGAGTCCCGGCCACCTGAGAGTACGCGAGTCGAGGATGGGCACGGGAAGTGGCAGCATCCCTCATCGGAGAGCGGATTGGTTAAAGTTGAGATCGTGACTGCTGGGAGCAGGTTTGGGCCATTGGCTCAGATTGCAAAAGGTGAGACTAACTTCTAGATGTGTCGTCCCCACAGATGGCGCCAAATGTTTGAACTCGAAATTGCTAAGCTTAAATGTAACGTAGATCGGAACGTTCAGGACGAACTATGGCCAACTGCCCAACACCTCCCCAAAACACTCTTGAGACCTGCAAAACAAAGTTAGCACTCCGACGAGCAAGTCAGTTCTAGTCCGAGCTAACTTGCCGAGTCTATCTAGTATCGCGTACCTTACATTTAAGGTTAAGGTTTCTATTTATAGAAACTGGGCCCGACAGGAGTTCTGACACACTCTAAAATCGCGGCTTGTTGTCGGGTACGGAAGGGACATTGTTACGGACTTTGTCTCGGGTCGGCTCGGCACTTTAGGTCCTACCCTGTCTGCCGACCTGAGTACTTTGGAGCCAATTTCTATATTTCGTCTGCGTGTTCATCCAACTCACCTTTTCGATCACGACACGTGGCAGGCCAGGATTCGCATCCAACAGACGTTATGAGGTCGATTGTGAACTGTAGTTTTCGATCCACGTGACATTCTGTAATTTTACCTTCAACAAATAGTAGATATGGTAGCGATTAAAAATTTAGAGAGAGAAATTTTGGTAGAAAAAAATTTTAAGTGAAGAGAGAAATTTGTTCCAGAGATATACAGAGAAACAAAAAATTTTAGACCCAAGGGAAAAAAGACTAGTAAAAGCATAAATCTATTTTTAAAAATTACTTTTTTCTTTTAAAATTTCTAAAACATTTTCTAAAACACAGAAAACATAAAATTGAATTACTTATCAAAAACACCTATTTTTTAAAAGTTAAAAATTAAAATTAAAATAGAAATCCAACACCCTGAACCATCCTTCAAATTTATACCAAAACAATTTAAGAAAGAAAAATAATGATAATATGCACAAACTATTTTGACTAGAAAAGAAATAAAAAGATTTTTTGACACAACATAAAACATATTTTTGATATCATTAAGCTTATAGTCAAGCAGTGGGCCCAGCTGCAGCCACGTTTTCATGGAAAACTTTAGAGTTGTTTCTTGTTTGAATTTAATTATTAAAATGTGTAACGTAGGTGTTTTTTTAATTGTTTTTTTTAATTTATTTCAATTTATAATGAAATCAAAATTGAAAATGTATTTGATTATATTAGTGAGTTTATTAACAAAATTATTATATACTTTAAATTTATGATAAGTGTTTTTAAATATTAAAAAGAAAGATTGATTAAATTATATTAAAAATATAAAATTGAAAATAATTATTATTAGCAATAAAATTAGTTAGAAATACAAAGATGTATTAAATGTCTCATAAAAATACTTTAGCTGTTATATGTATTGCAAATTTTATAAATGTCTTGACATAAAATATGGACCATTTCAAATCATAAATAAATAAAATGATAAAATATATGCCTTCAATTAATTAAGTTTATATGTCTAATTAAGTTTTTTCTACTAAATATGTCTCAAATTCAGTTTTTTCTGTCAAAATGTGTCTAATTAAGTTTATATCACGAATATTTTTTTTAATAAATTTAAGTTCAAAATTCTAAACTTAGATGAGATTATTATTTCTCTATTCAATTTCTATAATTCACCTCTTAATTAAAAAATTCAAAAAATTCAATAATTTCATAAAATATCAAAATTTTCCAATCAAGTTTGATTAATGTACAAAATCCATCCTTAAATTCCAATGAAAATTTATTTCGGACATTGTCTAAAGTTTAAGGCAAATTTATCCAAGTACAAGGCATAAATTGATATATATTGTCAAGTTCAGCTTTAAAGTTGATATTTTTCCATTATTTATATGTATTGGTACTCTACATAAAATTCTACCACCCCTACAGTAAACACAAATTTTTCACGACAAACTCAAAGTTTAAAAATCAAAATAAATATATCGAACTTTAAAATACAATAAAAGAGAGAAAAAGAAATGAATAAAAAAATTTTGACTTCCGACCAATTTGTGGCCACTTATACAAAGTTTGACTGGGAGAAGTGAGTCCAAATTCAATCAATAATTTAAAAAATAATAATAATAATAAATAATTTTCCATTTGAAAAAAAAAAAAGTAAAAAGAAGAATTCAGAAGTTTTCATTCGTAAGGACTGAGTCAGTGGTCTTCGTCTTCAACCGCGTCCCTCTTTTGGATTTCAACTCTTAAA